TTCCAATGGTCGACTTTCCCACTCCAAACTAGTTAGCGACCGATCGGTAGCTGTCTGGAGTTGCCAGCGTCCAGATTGCAATAGCCACCCGCTTCTCCACCGTCAGGGCAGCTCTCAATCTCGTGTCCTTGCACCGCAGGGTGGGGGCGAGCTCAGCACACAGTCCCATGAAAGTGGCTTTTCTCATCCGAAAGTTCTGCAGACATGCTCGTCATCCCAGATTTGCATGACGATGTGATCCCACCACTCAGTGCTTGTTTCCCAAGCCCCAAAGCGGCGTTCCACGGTGGTGAGCATGTCCATGAATGCCACAAGCAATCTTGTGTCATACGCGTTACTCGAGTCGATATCATCGTCGGAGTCCTCACTGTCAGTTTGGATCTTAAGGAGTAACTTGACTGCCAAACGTGACGTGCTGGCGAGACTCGTCAGCATATTCCTCAGCAGTTCGGACTCCATTCCCACAGACCGAAAGGGAAGACAGAGCGCGCAGCACAAAAAACATTGAAAGATGGCGCCACATGTGGATGGAAGCACAGGGATTGCTGGGATGCGAACCGATGCATCACGGGGCGTTGGGACAGGACCCAGAATGCTCCCACCCCCTTCCCATAAGCCACAGTGCCAGAATAGGAAGAGATGCTCTGTGGGATAGCTGCCCATAATGCACCGCTCCCAATGCCGCTGCAAGTGCTGCAAATGTGGCCACGCCAGTGCACTTGCAGCTATCAGTGTGGACAGACTGCAGCGCTTTCCCTACTGCGCTCTCCGAAGGCTGGTTTAATTCAAAGTGCTCTACATCTGCAAGTGTAGCCAAGCCTTAAGAGATGACTCAAATTCCTTCCATAACACAAGCCCCATCCACTGATGAGGCCACAATGAAATGCTGCCCACATTAGATTATTCAAATGTTAATACGCTTGTCCACTTCTTTCTTGTGAGCTTTGATCAGCAGTGAAAAGTTCACAAAGTTAACATTTAAATTGCCATCATTAAGCTTCAGTGTTAATATCAAATTGAGGTAAATGAGAGCAATTCACACTCCTCTCTGAGCTCATTCAGGCTGCCTGCAGACTCAGGCAGACAATGCCACACCAGCGTCTATTATGAAAGGCTAGAGCAGTGGTTCTCAACCTATTTATCATTGTGGGCCACATCTGCATTATGTGGGCCACGTCCACACAATATATATACTACCTGTATGGCCCTGAGGATGTCACATGGGCCAAAGCTGTGTGTTGATTTGGTCACAGGTGGCCTGTGGGCCATAGGTTGAGAACCACTGGGCTAGAGATTTTTTTTTTTTTTAATGAAAGATTCGACTGTGGCCCATAAGATGGAAGCCTCCAGCGAGAAATGCTTGTGCTTGAAGGACTCAATCCAAAGCTGCTCAGCACCTTGGAGGATCAAGTCCCCAGCTGCCATGAAGCAACCCAACCCGTCCACTGATTTTCAAATACCTCCATGAGCCAGGTACCATAAGTAGGTAATATCCTCATTTTACTGAGGAGGCCCCCATTGGGTCAGACTAATGGTCCATCTAGCCCAGTACCCTGTCTTTGGACCATTGGTCTGACCCATTTTGACGGATAATACTGATGTTTATTTTTAAGTTTTTCTTTTAAAAAAAGATTTTTATTTATTTAAATTTTCATAATTGTGGGAAATTATGGAAGGGCCAGAAAATGGAGGGGGTGGGGTTTTGACAATAACTATTTAATGACAGTAGATGTTGATGCCCAAAAAGTTAAAGTTTTATAACTGTTAAACCATAAACTGTGAATTTCACAGGTCAAAAATATACCAAGTAAATATCCTTAAATCAAACTCTAAGTTCTCAAGCATCATTTTTCTTACTTTGCCTGTTTGTAAATTTTGATTATTATGGACAGAAATATTTGTGTTGGTCTGTGTGTGTACGGTGAAATCAATGTTTACCGACATTTACCAGTAAAAATCTAGTCCTTCCAAGCCTACATAGAGGGATACAAATTTTAAAGTAACTAAACATCTGCTTGTAACTGTTACTGACCTAATCAGACTCAATCCAACACAGTGTTCATCTCTTCGTTTTACTCTGACTTCCTAATTTCATTTTTTAAAAACAGTTGCCACCTACAGTAGTGTCAGCAATTTGCATCCTCCAAATATATGTATTTTTAAATAATACAGCGTTTCAGTGGGTAGCGTCCTGCCATCAAATCCATAACAGACAATCATACACATGGGCATAAAGCAAACATTCCAAACATACTGTGCAACCCTACCCTATGCAGATCCTTGAAGCACTGAAACTATTAGAATCTATTAATTTTGAGCTGGCAAGAGCAAACCAGGGGTTTCAGAGAAACAAGTAGAGACTGCGCTGATGCTTTTGTCATATACATGATAGAGTATGTGAGAGCTGCCGCAGGTCCATAGTAGAGCTGGTGGGGAATTTTCCATTAGAATGATTGTCCGACAGAAGAAATCACTTTCTGCAAAGTCAAAATTTTTCCACGGGAGAATTGCCATTTTGGTGGAAAAATTGGATTTGTCCATTGGAAAATGGTTCCCAACTCTGCAGTTCCCCCACCTCTTGGTGGCCTGCCAGCCAGGCTGCTGAGCAGTCAGGACTTCCAGGCCCACGGGGCAAGTTGCCAGGCTGCAGGAGCTCCCTGGCTCTGTGGCAGCCTGCCAGGTGGGCAGCTGGGGAGTCAGTGACCCTGAGACGTATGTTTCCTTTTGGAAACATTGCAATATTCCTGCTTCTGGGAATTGCAAGACTTCAATTCTGTGAAAAATGTTGAGGTTTTGGCTTCTCATCCTGACTCAGGATGAAAATGTTTCCAAAAACTCAGTTTTTAGTCCTTTCTTTCCCAGCCAGCTCTACTCCACTGTCTGTCCACTCCGTGTTTGTATCCTGCCATCATCACCACAGCAAGCGGCGCACCTTGCAAACTGTACAACACGCACACAGGATCCCTGTTTCTCTTTGTCCATTCCCCAAAGGGAGGGGGCGTTTTATTAATAGATTCATAGATTCTAGGACTGGAAGGGACCTCGAGAGGTCATCGAGTCCAGTCCCCTGCCCTCATGGCAGGACCAAATACTGTCTAGACCATCCCTGATAGACATTTATCTAACCTACTCTTAAATATCTCCAGAGATGGAGATTCCACAACCTCCCTAGGCAATTTATTCCAATGTTTAACCACCCTGACAGTTAGGAACTTTTTCCTAATGTCCAACCTAGATCTCCCTTGCTGCAGTTTAAGCCCGTTGCTTCTTGTTCTATCCTTAGAGACTAAGGTGAACAAGTTTTCTCCCTCCTCCTTATGACACCCTTTTAGATACCTGTTTTGTTTTGAGTGGTCTTTGGGGGAAAGCTAGGATGAACCAATAGGTTTCACATTTCTTTCTGAAAGGCTCCTCTTTTTCCTAGGGCCCTTGGGGGAAAGTTTCATCTTTTATCCTGCTGTGGATGGAAGGTGGAAACAGGTGCACCCCGACTTGCAATCTGAATTCAGACATAACACACAAACCAAGGGAATAAAAGCACAAAAGGTGAGGTGAGGTGAGGTGATGGGTGTGTGTGTGTGTGGAAGAGCTAGGACAAAGTTTGCGAAAATATGGTAGTGCAGCCATGTGGAAAAACCCTGCACTGGCCCCTTCCCCCAACAGAACAACTAACTTCAGAGACTGAACTACTTTAGTCAATTTCTTTCTTTCTTTCTTTGTGTCTTTCACTTGCTGTTCTAACTCCCTTACTCCTGGCTTGAATTTTCCAGTGATTTGGGGGTGGGGATCAGTCAGGGAAGAGGAAGAGTGTTATGGGGTGGGGGATGGATTGTAATACAAGGACGACACAAAATAGCTGGTAATAGTCTCTTTCTTTCCCAAGCTCGGACCCAGACCCGGATCCGAATGACAAAAGGTTAATTAAGAACATGGTCACATGACAGGGATTAGTACCCACTCAGTCCAAGTGGCTGTTACCTCTGAAAAGGAGCTTTGTTAAGGTGGCAGTGATTTGAGTGCATATTACCTAGTGAGAAAGTTAGAGTTTAAAGAACTATCCTCCACACATTAGCTACCCAGGAAAGGCAGAGTCCAGGTTGCACGTCTCAAGCAGGGCACCGAGACTGCCTTAACCATATCCCTATAAAAAGTAACAGAGGGTCCTGTGGCACCTTTAAGACTAACAGAAGTATTGGGAGCATAAGCTTTCGTGGGTAAGAGCCTCACTTCTTCAGCTTATGCTCCCAATACTTCTGTTAGTCTTAAAGGTGCCCAGAACCCTCTGTTACTTTTTACAGATTCAGACTAACACGGCTCCCCCTCTGATACATATCCCTATAGAGACACCACCCAACCACGGGCCTGGTTTGCCACTGCCAGCCACGCAGTGTAGACATTCATACCAGTGCACATTGAATATCAAACAGGGAGATCTTCAAAGGTATTTCGCCATGTAACTCCCCCTGGTTTCAGTGGAAATTAGGGCCTGGGGCTGTCTCTAACTCTGGGCCCGCAGCACCTTCCAGGCTGGGACCCTGACTGCAGCTGGGGCTGTCGCCCTAATACAAATCACTGATCATGAGCATCATTAAAAAGAACCCAGGCGTCCTGGCTGCCGGCTCTGTGCTGCAGGCGGGGCTGGGTGAGTGTTTTGGATCCCCCCAGCGGGGATCTGTGCCATGCCGCCACTGCAGGGTGCATTACTCCGCAGGGAGGTTTGCAGCTCGGCCCGGGTGTGGCCCCAGCTGGCCTCAGCGATAACAACACCGCATCCCGTGCAAAGCGCCTGGGCAGCAACACAAAACTACAAGTCCCAGAGGCCTTTGCGGCGGCCCTTTGGCCCCCCCCTCCCTCGGCTCTGACGCAGGCAGGCTGGGCACAGAGGTCAGCGAAGCCCCCCAACGCAGGAGCCGCACGCGCGGTGGTCGGGGTCCGGGTCCGCGAGCGGCGGGGGGGGGAATCAGCCCCCGCCCCTCAGCGAGCAGGGGCTGCTGGGACTTGTAGTTCGGGGCAGGGCCAGCCGCGGGCTATGGAAGGGTCGCTGGCTAGCGGCTCCAGGCTGGGGGAGATCGGTGAGTGAGTCCTGCTCCCAGTGAGGGGGGAGATTTGGGGGGGGGGCTCTACTCCAGGGGGGGGGGGAAGGGGGGGGGGGGGGGGGGGGGGCCTGCTTCGGGGGAGGAGGGGGGGAGTGCTTTGGGGAGGCCCTGCTCCCTGGGGAAGGAGGGAGAGGAGCCATTGGGGGCCGGGGCTCTGCTCCCTAGAGAGGGCCGGGGTGTCTAGGGAGGAATTTGTGGAGCCCCGAGTAGACGTGTGGGGGTAGGGGAGAGAGCTCCTGCCCCCATGACACGACCTCCTGCAAGACAGGGCTATGCGGAGCAGAATAAAGGACATTGTACGCCCAGGTGCTGCTGCATCTAGCACACGCTGCAGATGGATGGGATGCACCTGCTCCGGGGTGCGGTGGCAGGAGTCGTGGGACAGGTGCAGCAATCTGCAGGGACTCGGGTGTGTAGGCAGCAGGTCGGGTGCCGCTGGAGTCAGATAGAGCGGCTGCATTGCACCATTCGGAGCGTCAGCGCTGCCGTGTAGTCGTGCACGTAAGACTACAGGGTGCAGGATTGGTTTTCCAGGAGCTGAACGGTCTGATCTGTGCCACAAGAATAATCGCCTTTAAATACAGGCAGCTTGCTTGTCTTCCCTGCCTCCCGAATGGCCCATCTCCCCGCTTTCTCACCGCCAGTCCTGCTGCTAGCAAGAGAGGGCTGCTCATTAGCAAACAGCCTGCCCTCTCCTGGGCCAGAGTCCCCTCTCCCTTACAGTGATGTAAATCGGGATTAATGCCATGAAACACAAAATATCTTTGCTCCAAGTGGGGGTGAGGAAATGGAGGTCCCAAAAGGCTACAGCATATAAGTGTGCTGTGAAAACACCAACCCTTAATAACAGAAAAGAAGACCCAAGGACTGGGGCAATAATGCACACAAGGTGCAAATGCATCATATTGCTCCTTTTTGCTGCAATGTTCATGACTTTGCGGCTTTGCATTTAGCAGAGGCGCTTCAATCCAGTAGCAGCTACAGCTGGAAATTTTTACGGGGGGGGGGGGTGCAGCCTTTTCCGTGACGTGGGCACCTCCACGGGCAACATGCAGACCAGACAACATCTGTGCGGCACGTCCTCACGTGTACGGGCTGTGCAAGGTCAGGCTGTGCGGTGGGTGCCGTTTTGTGGCCTGCAGAGGTGCCGTGCAACTGCATTTGCGGCCCATGTCCCTGAAAAGGTTGGAGCAGCCTGATATACATTCATTAGAACCCCCTGCGAGGCAGGCTTGCCACTTACCTCACCTTAAATCTCTTCCACCTGCCTGCCCACCCCTGGCACCATGGAGTGGTTGCTTCTCAGGGGCTGTGTGGAAGGACATTCCAGCATGGGGCTGATAGAATGGCCGGTCTGTTGGTGCCCTGGTAGTAACCTGCATGGAGCTGCGTGCATAAAGGCCATTTCTGCCCTTAGCAGCAGTAAACTGTGGAGGGGCCATATGTGACGATGCTTGGAGATGAGCAAGACTTGCATGAAAACAGCAGCTGACTGACGACAAAATTCAAATGAATGCTACTGGCTTGTTTTGCGAGGATTCGGGGGGGTGTCGTCCCTGTTTGCATGGAGGCAGAATGCGCCCTGTTAAAAGGCATCACATCTAGATTGAAAGAGCCCAAGGCTGTTCTGCGTTCGTCACTTACTCTGTAAGCAAAATATACTTACACGGAGACAGTGCCGCCTTTGTTTCATGCAGCAACCGTTTTAATAACAGCAGTACTGGGTCGTCAGAGAGCACGTTCACACAAGGATTGCAACACATTTGACAAATAGCAATGAAACTCTGTGCAACGAAACCCCCCAGGATTCCAGCTTTTATACATGGGGTCCCGGTAGCACACAGAAGTGAAAGTGACTTACCCAGGTCTACACACTGAGTCATTAGCAGAGGTGGGACCAGAACCCCAAACTCTTAGTTTCCTATTCAAGCCACTAGCCCATGCTTGTGCCTCTCCCAGTAAAGCGCGTTGTCTCCAGCCCACAGACTCTCATTCACAGTCTCTCCTTTCTCCCCAGGCTTCTGGGCTGAGAGGACGCCTGTTCACGAAGCGGCCAGGAGGGGAGAGATCCTGCAGCTGCAGCAGCTGATAGCGAATGGTGCCTGCGTAAACCTGGTCACCTACGACTCTATCACCCCCTTGCATGAGGCGAGCCTGCGAGGTCAGACGCAGTGTGTGAAGCTCTTACTTGCAGCAGGGGCCCAGGTTTGTGATAAATTTGAATGTCCCCTCCCTCTTCCCCCCTAGCCTTTTGCTCTTGATTACCCTTCTAATGGGGAAGTATATAGTGCTACAAATCCAATCAAATAAGTGACATTATGTCTCCCAAAGAGAATAATTTTTTAGCTGCACCATCCTTGCTATGGGCCAAGCCTTTGCTGAAATCAGTGGGACGTGAGGTGCTTATAGAGTCACGGGAGAGTCTTGCCCTTCTGGATCAGTGCACGTCAGCCGTGCTATCCAAAGTGATCACTATGGCCTGGTCTACACTGGGGGGGGGAGGAGGGGGGATCGATCTAAGATACGCAACTTCAGTTACGAGAATAGCGTAGCTGAAGTCGACGTATCTTAGATCGAATTAAAATTACTTACTTCGTGTCCTCGCAGCGCGGGATCGACGGCCGCCGCTCCCCCGTCGACTTTGCTTCCGCCTCTCGCCGAGCTGCAGTTCAGCAGTCGATGGGAGAGTGATCGGGGATTGATTTATCGTGTCTACACTACACACGATAAATCGATCCCCGATAGATCGATCGCTACCCACCGATCCGGTGGGTAGTGTAGACGTACCCTAAGCGGTCTAGGGAGCAGCAGGAAAAGCAACTGGAGTGGATTCTCTGGCAGGTTTTGTATTTTATTGCTACGTTCCCTTTAATACTTCCCTTAGCTCTGTTCTGGGAACAAAAGACCTGGTTAACCTTAGAGCGACAGGACCGTACTCAAGCTAGGTTGGTGACAATATCCACCAGCTGGTTCCTGCCTTCTGCAGGGTTAGAGAGTGTGTGTTAAAGACCTAGGTAAGAGAGCACTGGCATACAGCTGCCACTGAGTCAATACTATCTTTCTGCCTTCTAGGTGGATGCCAGGAACATAGATGGCAGCACTCCGCTCTGTGACGCTTGTGCTTCGGGCAGTATTGAATGTGTGAGAGTGCTCCTGTCCCATGGAGCGAAGGTGAATCCTCCGCTCTACACGGCGTCCCCTCTCCATGAAGCCTGCATGAATGGTGAGCCCTCGAGATCCTACGTGTATATTCATCGGGCACTCACACCCATGGCAGCTGCAAAGGGCCTGAAATAACCGTAAGAGTCTGTTGTTCATCAGACTGTAACAGCTGGAAAGCATCTCCTGTCGTCTCTTTTTGTTAAGATTAGTTGTGTGGTGTTAAGGCCCATTGTGTCAGCAGAGATCCCGCTGAAGTCCGAATGAAAAACTTCTCAGGACTGGGCAAATAAAGACATTGTAGGTGTGAGGCAGTTGGACACCGTGTGACAGACACAATAGAAAATCTTAGCTAGGTAGGACAACAACTTCCATTATTTGTTAATGTAGCCCGGGAGGAGTCCCTCCCTACGTTGGGCCCACCCCATGGCCTCTCCGTTTGTTACACTCCCATCAAAATCAGATTTGAGTCGCGGGAAGGTTGATCTTCCGGTGAAGGGGCTGGACTGGAACTCAAGACCAGCGACCAGTTCCCAGATCTGGCATAGACTCCCTAGGTGACCTTGGCCAAGTCTCTTATTTCCTTTGTGCCTCACTTTCCCCCTCTGTACATTGGGTGTGATAACACTTCCTTCACCCGCCCTTTGCCTGTCCTGTTAAATGGTCTGATGTTAGAGGCAGGGGTTGTCTCCCACTGTGAGGTCAGTGGGAACTCTCAGGTGATTAGCACTTTTGAAAGCCTGGTGGGTGCTTAACTAGATAGTGTTAGGATCCTAATTTTTGAAATCCTTGGCATGAGCACTCTTATGAAGGTTCAGCCCGGTTAGATGACTCAGTCCATCCCCCTTGGAGCATATTCTGCCAATGTTTAGTCCAGTCTAGCTTCAAAGGACTCAAGCAACGGGGCTTCCACCTCTTCCTATGGATGACCGTGCCACTGCCCAATAGATTTAGCCCAACGGGGGAAAAATACACCCAAGCCTTTGTACTTTGCACTTAATGTCCCAAATGTTAATGACACTCTTAGGGAGGTCTACGCAGCACGGGCTAGCCTACCCGGGTTAGCTAGATCCAACCAGCGTGGATAACAGTACCAGTGAAGACAGCGTAACATGGGCTTCAGCCCAGGTAGTAAAAGCTTGGTGTAGACCCTGGGTACATCCTTGGGTCACAATCCAGCTCTGATGATGCCTGCACTGCGGCGTCTTCAGTGCTATTGTTACTGTACTAGCTGGATTCACGCTAGCTTCTGCAGCATACACATACTCTTAGGCCAAGCTGATACAAAGCACGTGGAAGTTCCCCTCAAAGCCAGGCTGTTTCTCACTGATCGGTTCTCTTTTCAAAGGGAGTTCGGAGTGCGTGCGGCTCCTGATAGATGTCGGTGCGAACCTGGAGGCCCACGATTGCCACTTCGGAACTCCTCTGCATGTAGCCTGTGCCCGAGAGCATCTGGATTGTGTGAAGTTACTGCTCAATGCCGGTACGGCACCCGGAGGTGTTGGTTTCGGTGTACGCAGTACCTAGTGGCAGTGTTTGTGAAACGCTCACCTCTTGTATCTGTTCTTGGGCTCAGAAGAGAAGTGTTTAGAAGTTTATTAATTCACGGAGCCATTGAAATGGACATGATTATGGATATTTCTGTCCTCAGAGTGTCTGCCAGACAAGAATAAATATATACACAAGGGCTTTTCTTCTGGGCAAAGCAATGCTCCTAGTTAGCCATTTTCGGAAGGCTTGCAGCGTAAGCAAATTAATATCCATGTCATAAACTCTTCTGTTTAGTTCAGTGGCATTTAGCTGTTCCTATTCTGTTAATAACCAAACCATTCCAGCCTCCTAGAATAATGTTTCAACTCACTCTTAATAATGATGTTGGATCAATATTGGTAGATTTTTTTTTTTAAGGTTGGAGATAGAGGAGAGCTGGAAAGAGAGACATATTGGGGTTTGATGTACAACAAAACATGAGGTCCCTGGTGTGATTTGATTGGAGTTACACCAGAGATGGATTCGGCCAGGGGATATTCAAGTAACATTGTATGTTCCAAGTTTCACATCCAGGTTCCCCGGCCGTAGGAACCAGAGCTAGTTCTGAACCAAATCACCAGAGCCAAACACCTCCGAACTTTGTTGATATTGGGATATGGATTCGGACTTTGTGTCTTGGGTCCATCCTTGTCAGGAAGTCATGTGACTCGCAGTATCCACCTATCAGTTCAATGGAAAGGGTAATAGGAAGAGGTGGGGGAGTGAGGACACCCTCTGGCTTGAGTTTATCTAGTCACACTTTCTTAGCAGAAATGAGAATGAACAAGACTTGGTACATGGTTGACGGATGCTGAAGGGCACCTAGATCTCCATATCTCAAAATCCCAGCATAACGAGATGTTTCTGTTAAAATGACCAGCACTTAAATAGCTAACAACGTTGACATCAGTAAGTTTAGGACTGAACAACCCATTGAGAAGAACTGGGCAGTTCCTAGCTTGTTTCAGACTGTGTAGATTCAGTGGGATGCATAGGTTACATTCAGAAGTTTATTTTCATAGCTATATCAGCTAAAAATCTCTCCGTAAGGAAAACATATGCCTGCAAAAATACATGGCGTGCTAGCTCTGACTACTGGCTCAAGCCCATTCTATACTTAAAACATAGGTCAAAATAGCTACAGTGCTCAGGGGTGTGAAAAATCCATGTCCCTGAGTGCCGTAGCTATCTGACCTAACCCCCAGTGTAGACTCAGCGAGGTTGACAGACCTACCATCACTTGGGGAGATGGAATTCCTATAGCGATGGAAAAATCCCTTCTGTCACCATAGGGTGCGTCTACACTGCAGGGTTATGCCAATGTCGCTTCGGCGCCGTAGCTGTGCCACTATAGTGTAGACAATCCCTCGGTCTTTCAACTGATTGGTGGAACTTCATTTAGAGGCTTCACAGCAACTGAGTGGTAATTTTCTCAGGTAAGAGATGACTTAACCAGAGTAACGGCGGCGACATCGGGGCCTTCATAAACTCATTTTGTTTATGCTCCCAGGGGCAAATGTGAATGCAGCTAAACTTCACGAGACAGCCCTTCACCACGCAGCCAAAGTGAAAAATGCGGATCTGGTAGAGATGCTGGTTGAATTTGGAGGAAACATTTATGCCCAGGACAACCGAGGGAAGAAACCATCCGACTACACGTGTAGGAACAGCCAGACTGCTCAGTGCTTGGAGTACTATGAAAGTAAGTGGGGCTCGGTCCCATCTCCCACAGCCATGCTAGAACTCATTTCCTCTTCAGCAGGCTGGGTCGTCAGCATGGTCCTTTCCGGCCTGAAAATCTGTGCATCTTGTGGCTGCCATTTTCTCCCCATCTCATAATCTGCTTGTTCCTCATGGAACTGGAAAAAGTTCAGGAAAGGGCAACAAAAATGATTGGGGGTATGGAACAGTTTCCATATGAGGAGAGATGAATAAGACTGGGACTTTTCAGCTTGGAAAAGAGACGACTAAGGGGGGATATGATAGAGGCCTATAAAATCATGACTGGTGTGGAGAAAGTAAATAAGGAAGTGTCATTTACTCCTTCTCATAACACAAGAACTAGGAGTCACCCAATGAAATTAACAGGCAGCAGGCTTAAAACAAACAAAAGGAAGTATTTTTTCACACAACGCACAGTCAACTTGTGGAACTACTTGCCAGAGGATGTTGTGAAGGCTAAGACTATAACAGGGTTAAAAAAAGAACTAAATAAGTTCATGGAGGATAGGTCCATCAATGGCTATTAGCCAGGATGGGCAGGGATGGTGTCCCTAGCCTCTGTTTGTCAGAAGCTGGGAATGAGCGACAGGGGATGGATCACTTGATGATTACCTGTTCTGGTCATTCCCTCTGAAGCACCTGGCACTGGCCACTGTCGGAAGACAGGATACTGGGCTAGATGGACCTTTGCTCTGACCCAGTGTGGCCGTTCTTATGTTCTTATTCTGTTCTCCTGTGTAACAGTCTTTCCTCTAGCTGGGAGACAAGGTGGGTGAGGTAATATCCTTTATTGGTAATATCTTCTGTCGGTGGAAGGGAGGCGCTTTTGAGCTTTGCTTAACTCTTCCTCTGGCCTGTGAAGCTAATGCGTTCCTTTGGTGCTCAGCTCACACTGAGCGGGGCAGCTCACGCCTCTTCATTGCTGTGTCCGTCACGTGTCAATTCCGTGACCCCTCTGGACCAGGAGTCTGGTGACCCGTCCCAAACACTGAGTCTCTGCATGGGAACCCGGTGCTGTCCCACATCGAGCTTCCCATGAGAATAGGTTAAAGAGTGTAAGAGTGTGCACCACGAAGGGCGGAAGAAGAGGAAGTGTGTGTGTTTGTTTCAATCTGAAACACACCTGAATTGGGGCCTGGGAGGCACCTCCTCTAATATAAAAAAGTAGAAGAGACCTAAATGGAAACATTGTGATTTATTTAAAATCCAACATCTGATTCTTTATTTGAATTCTCTCTCCGAGTGCAACTCTCCCATGCCCACCTTTAAAGGGAACAGATTAGCCTTTCTCTCATTAATATTATTCTCTCTCTCGCTTGCGACCCTAAGCAAGAGGGAATCGGCATTTCGCCCATCCCTAACCTTCCCACAAGATTACAAAGAAGTGGTATGGCCTGCTAGGGAGAGAGCACCTCAAGGTTCTTTCCCTGGAATCCAGTCTCAAAGAACAGGGTAAAGGTTCCTCCCACTTCTCCCAACTGAACTGTGCCTCTGAGAGCCAGCCCCATGCAGTACTGTCATGCACTCAACAAAGAGAAGAGCCACTGGTCCAGTACCCGCACTCTGAATGATCCTGGAATGGTGCAGTAGGGAATGACGTTGTATTTTTGTGGGTGTGGCGAGCAGGAACTGCTGGCTGGGAGTGTGGGCGTGGTGGTGAGTGAGATTTGAAATTGAGCCGTTACCACCGCTTTTCCTTGCAATGCAACACCCGCCTGGAATCCTGTGAACTTTGTGGATCGCGTCGAGGCCCGGTGTAAGCGGAAACAGCCTCGTGACTTTGACGGGAGCTGTGCCGGCTGACCCCTAGACTGAGTTTGGCCTCCATCCACAGGCACCGACTTTTACTTTTCCCTGGGGGTGCTGTGCCCTGAGGCCCCGCCCTCACTCCTCCCCTTCTCGCAGGCCCCTCCCTCCCTCCGCCTCTTCCCACCCGCTTTTCCCCCAGGCTCCCTCCCACTCACTGCTCACTGGTCTCCACTTTCCCCCCAAGTCCCTCCCTGAGCTGCCTCTATCAGCTGATCGGCAGCACCACCGAACAGCTGTGGCTGGTGGGTGCTGAGCGCCTGCTATTTTTTTTCCATGGGTGCTCCAGCCCCAGAGAACCCACAGAATCGGCGCCTGTGCCTCCGTCGGTCTGCGAAGCGTTCTGTGCTTGGTAGAATTAAGAGCCTTCCGCGGAACTGGCACAGTGATGCTGCTGATCTTTTTGTATCGTTTCAGAAACACCCCTGAGCTTGTCGCAGCTCTGCAGAGTTAGCCTGCGGAAAGCCACCGGCCAGCAAGGGCTGGCGAAGATTGCCAAGTTGAATATTCCTCTGCCATTAATGAAATACCTCTCGTACAACTGACCGAAAGAAGGTGACATTGCAGGACAATCTCGTTAGACCCCACAAGATGAAGTATCTTGTCTCTTTCTCTCTCTCTCCCTCCCTCCCCCGTCCCATAAGAAGTCCCTTTAATTTAAGTTAATTGATGTAAATACCATTTCTGAGGCAGCATATCTCCCCCCCCCCATCCCATCGTGTGACTGAGAGTTTTGACAAAGACAATAATTTAGATCTTGTGTAGATCCAGGCTTTTAGCTAGTAATTAGGGCTGTCAAGCGATTAATTAAACATTAATTGCAATTAATCACAATTAATTTGTTTAATCGCGCTGTTAAACATTAATAGAATACTATTTATTTAAAATTTTTTAGATATTTTCTACCTTTTCAAATATATTGATTTCAATTACAACACAGAATACAAAGTGTACAGTGCTCACTTTATATTTATTTTTGATTACAAATATTTGCACTGTAAAAACAAAAGAAATAGTATATTTCAATTCACCTAATACAAGTACTGTAGTGCAATCTCTTTATCATGAAAGTCAAACTTATAAATGTAGAATTATGTACAAAAAATAACTGCATTAAAAAATAAAACATCAAACTTTAGAGCCTACAAGTCCATTCAGTCCTACTTCAGCCAATCGCTCAGACAAACAAATTTGGTTACAATTTGCAGGATATAATGCTGCCCTCTTCTTATTTACAATATCACCTGAAAGTGAGAACAGGTGTTCGCATGGCACTGTTATAGCCGGCACTGCAAGATATTTATGTGCCAGATGCGCTAAAAATTCATATGTCCCTTCATGCTTCAACCACCATTCCAGTCCATGCTGATGACGGGTTCTGCTCGATAACAATCCAAAGCAGAGCGGGCCGACCCATGTTCATTTTCATCATCAGAGTCAGATGCCACCAGCAGAAGGTTGATTTTCTTTTGTGGTGGTTCAGGTTTTGTAGTTTCTGCATTGGAGTGTTGCTCTTTTAAGACTTTTGAAAGCATGCTCCACACCTCGTCCCTTCAGATTTTGGACGGTACTTCAGATTCTTAAACCTTACGTCGAGTGCTGTAGCAATTTTTAGAAATCTCACATTGGTACCTTCTTTGCGTTTTGTGAAATCTGCAGTGAAAGTGTTCTTAAAACGAACAACATGTGCTGGGTCATCATCCGAGACTGCTGTAACATGAAATATATGGCAGAGTGCGGGTAAAACAGAGCAGGAGACATACAATTCTCCCCCAAGGAGTTCAGTCACACATTTAATTAACGCATTATTTTTTTAACGAGCGTCATCAGCATGGAAGCATGTCCTCTGGAATGGTGGCCGAAGCATGAAGGGGCATACAAATGTTTAGCATATCTGGCACGTAAATATCTTGCAACGCCGGCTACAAAAGTGCCATGTGAATGCCTGTTCTCCCTTTCAGGTGACATTGTAAATAAGAAGCAGGCAGCAGGATCTCCCGTAAATGTAAACAAACTTGTTTTTCTTAGCAATTGGCTGAACAAGAAGTAGGACTGAATGGACTTGTTAATCTCTAAAGATTTACACTGTGTTGTTTTTGAGTGCAGTTATGTAACAACAAAAATCTACATTTGTAAATTACACTTTCCTGATAGAGATTGCACTACAGTACTTGTATGAGGTGAATTGAAAACTACTATTTCTTTTTTATAGTGCAAATATTTGTAATCAAAAATAAATATAAAGTGAGCACTGTACACTTTGTATTCTGTGTTGTAACAGAAACCAATATATTTGAAAATGTAGAAAAACATCCAAAATATTTAATACATTTCAATTGGTATTCTGTTGTTTAACAGTGCAATTAATTACGATGAATTTTTTTAATCGCGATTAATTTTTTTGAGTTAATCATGTGAGTTAACTGTGGTTAATCGACAGCCCTACTAGTAATCTTTTTACACTAGAGATCCTGCCAGACCGCTACCCCCATTGGCGTCTACTCTACAATGCCTTGTGTTCCTGAAGGGGTAATGGCTAATCACAAAGGCAGAAGGGGATAATTATCTGGGTGCCCTAATTAGACACAAATTTCACTTTTAGGCCAGAGGCTGTCAGCAGGCCCACCAAGTCATGCAATGCAACCCTCCGCAGGCCTCATCTAAAGCCCGTCAAAATCCCTGGGCGTCTTTCCAGTGACTTCACTGGATCAGCCCTCATGATTTTGGAGGTGCGGCCTACTGAGAGAACAACCAATCCCAGCATGCAGTGCTCCATCTTGATCTGAGCAACCAGTCTGATGGCAGCTGCAGCCATCTCCATTTGATGTAAACGTAGTTGCAGCCCACCGGTTCTGGCAGGTGACCAGTGCAGCAGCGGCGTTGGGCAATATCTGGGCACCCCGTCTACAGGCCAGATTTTATCCTCAGAGGAGCACTTTGCACGACCACTGTACAGTCTGATAACAAATCCATTCGTGCACCAGTGACCAGAGGCGCCGACTTTGAGAGGTCCTGGGGGGTGCTTGACCCCCCAACCCCCGCCCCCACTCCAACCCTTCCCCCCACCCCCCCCCCCCCTCCTCCCACCCTGTTCCCTCCCTTTCTCCCCCCCTGCTCCCCCCGCCCCAGCGCCTCCTGCACGCCGCCGAACAGCTGATCACTGGCGGGCAGGAGGTGCAGGGGGAGGAGTTGATCAGTGGGGCCCATCAGGGGGCAGGAGCTTCTGAGGGGGGGAGAAGGAGGAGCTGGCTGCCAGTGGGTGATGAACACCCACTTTTTTTTTTTTCCGTGGGTGCTCCAGCCCCGGAAAACACGGATGCACCGATGAGCTCTGAATAGGGTTTTCAGATTTTTCACTCTGAGGTGGCCTCTTGTTTCAGCTGCTCCTTTAGATGTTTGCCCTGTCACAGCTACGGGGTCTGGTCCCCTGCCTTAGAGCTGCATATTGTCAGTGTTGAATTCCTCTGTTCTTTACAAACGGTCACAGCGTCCTTTTGATATTGAATCCTTCTGGGTGAGGTTAGATTAGAAGCAGAGCAAAGTCTTAGTCTCCCTTAACATGTGAGATTTCACTGACCTGAAGGCAGCTGGCCACTTTAGTGGGTACCGGGGCTCTAGTCTCCTTGATGCGTGTGTGGTAAGTCTTAGCACATTGAGATGAGAATAAAACCCGTCCTCTTCATGGTACTGGGGTCGTGGAACCTTCTAAGGGTGTCTAACATGGCCTAAAACTAGATCAGTGGTTCTCAAACGCTGTCACATGGTGGACTGCCACTTAAAATCTTATACCTTACTGCCCCCCCCCCCGCCATCAACCTTAATCTTACACTTTCCCTGTTGCAACTGTAATGCTATGCTACATGGGGGAAAATAGTATTAGGGCAGTGTTAAGGAGATGAGATGAAAATATTTTCAGTGTAAAGGTGACCTACAAATGATTTTTTTAAACTTTGGATTCATGCCCTCCCACTTTTTTTTGTTCCTGCTGCATGGTATATAAAGAGAGCCCGAAGGGTTTTTCTTGTATATATAATTCTGCTTGGATTTTTACATTGGAAATATCAAGTTTGCCAGGTTTTGCTGGAGAAACTTTGGGAGGTCTTAGAGGGGGTTTTGTGGGCTCTTTTCCCTTAATTGGAGGGACAAGGGAGTTGAGTCTTTAACAAAAGCTTCCTGTATCCGAAATGTGAATTAGTCATTGGAGTTCGACAGGTGTCAAGAACACTGAACGAAAACCAAACTGTTTTCATCAGTCTGGCTCAAAATCCCTCCCCATCTCAGCAGCTCAGTTTTCACTCTCTTGTCCCATTTCACTAGTTCTTCGGTCACCACAGGTCTTCCAGCTCCGACAGGACCGGAATTTCCAATATAAAAAAATCAAGCAGAAACAAACAAATCCCTTTCACGTCATCTTTATTTTCCCCTTTGCAGGTCACCTCCAGTGGGGGCGCCACTGCTTGGTTATGTGTCTCTTCTATTTTATCTGCGCTGTTCATTTCCTCTCCCTGGCCTTCTGGGAACTTGCCCTCGGCCTCTCTCATCCTATTTGAGCATAGTCGAGTGTACGCCAAAAAAGGAGCCAATAAAGACTTCTCAATAGACCCAAGCTCCTTTGCAGAACCCAGCTGGGCACAGGGCTCCAAAGGAGATCTGTCAGGGATACCCAGATGTGCACAAAACACGCTTCTTAGAGGAAGGCGGGACTGCTGCTTGTTCCAGCCGTGCATGCTGCACCACTGTGATGCAAAGCAGCTCCCTGGACCACCTAGAAGTGCTTTGAGAACCACTGAGGCCTGGTCTACACTACGACTTTAATTCGGATTTAGCTGCGTTAATCCGAATTAATCCTTAACCCGTCCACACAACGGAGCCAGTTAATCCGAATTAAAGGGCACTTAAAATCGATTTCTGTACTCCACCTCGACGAGCGGAGTAGCGCCCAAATCGATTTTGTTAATTCGAATTAGGGGTAGTGTGGCCGCACACCACCGAATTAATGTGGTTAAATTAATGGGGTAGTGTGGCCGCACACCACCGAATTAATGTGGTTAAAAACCGAATTAATGTGCTTAGTGTGGCCGCGCACAATCGAATTTATACAACCTGTTTCCCAAATTCGAATTATCTAAATTCGGATTAATCCCGTAGTGTAGACATACCCTAAACTAGGAGACAATCTGTAGTTGTTGACCTGTTTGTAATGGTGCTGAGTCAGGCACTCTTGGAGATGGGCTCAGGGTGATAACCATGGGTGACCTACCTGTTTGAGATAGCATTGACCTGAAGAGGAAGGTGCTTGTACTCAGGAATCGCTAGGCGAGAGTCTCTGGCCTGGGTTATGCAGAGGTCAGACTAGAGAGGATCATAATAATGGTTCCTTCTGGGCTTGGAATCTGTGACTCTACCTCCAGTTAGCAAGCGGCAGTAGGGCAAGCTAATTGAATCAATCCCAGGTAAACAAGAAGCTGCAGAAGATGTCTTTTTATTCCCCCAGCTCAGGATGGCCCCAAAACAAGGGGAAGTGGGATGGACTCAGAACTCCATCGTCCGTCACAGTCCGGTCCCTTCGCTAACTATCCGCTAGCGAGAGCGCCCTTGTCAGCTGCCTGAGCAACGACGGCACCAGGCGTAAAGAACAAGATAGAGACTGCCCGGCAGATGTCTGAGCTGGTCACCCTGACCTTGGGAGCTCTCGCTCATTGCCTGATACCTAGCCTGGCTGGCTGCATGTGATGGCAGCCTGCAATAATAGTACCTAGCTCTTTATAGAGGGCTTTTCAGCAGTAGATCTCAAAGTGCTTTAGCGTTATCCCCATTTTACAGATGGGGGAACTGAGGCACAGAGGGGTGAAGGGACTTGCCCGAAATCACCCTGCAGCCTAGTGGCAGGGCCGGGAACACAACCCAAGTCTTCTGCATATTCTACGGCCATTTCAACAATGGGTGAAGTGACTCCTGATTTGTAAAGAGCTTTGGGGCGAAAGATGCAAGCGAAATGTCCACTATTAAATCTTTTCCAAGTCTCCTTGGCTGGGTCTGTTTAGGTTACACCTGTAGCTTTAAAAACAACAAGGAGTTCGGTGGCACCTTAAAGACCAACGGATTTATTTGGGCATAAGTTTTCGTGGGTGAAACACCTCCCTTCCTCAGCTCGGAAGAAGTGGGTTTTTTACCCACGAAAGCTTGTGCCCAAATAAATCCGTTGGTCTTTAAGGTGCCACCGGACTCCTTGTTGTTTTTGTGGACACAGACTAACACGGCCACCCCCTGATGCTTGACCCGTAGCTTTGTTTTCATGCAGGGTTTGATCATTTAACTTCCTTTGCTTTTGTTGATGATTAGGAATGTGCAATCAAAGCGCACATCCAGTGCAAATAAAATCAACCCCCTAAAACCAGCTCTTGCTCTGTATGTCCCTTTCAACCCCTGCCAGGGAAGGAAGAGATGAATTTGCAAATGCAGCTCAGCTTTCCACTTCTCCTCCCCACTTCTGTGCCCCACTCCCTGCTCCACCCCACACTGCCTTGCAGAGCCGTCTTTACAGGGAGAGGCCTGAAGAAAACCCCTCCAATCCAAACACCACTTGTGCTTTGGGAAAGTCCAGCTCCAGATGTGGCTCAGCTCTGTCTCTCTTTTACAATTAGCACCTCTTGAGAATCCTCCGGATTGTGTTGCTGGCTGCTGCTAGCCGGGTGTATTAGCATTGGCTTGCAGTGCAGGCATTTGATCGCAGCAGCTTCCCTCTAACTATGTCAAGTTGGTCCAATGAAAACAAGGTGTTGCCTGGGTTTTGTGCCTGTAAAAACCTTGCAGGACTGAGGAATTAACTGTTTGTAGCACAGCCCTGTTATTTTTCCAGTCTTGGGGCTTGCACAGGAAGGAGACTCGACCCCTGAATCCCATTGCTAGTTGTATTAAGACATTGAGAGCTCAGGTGGGAGAGGAGGTGTCAGATGCAAACAAGAATAATTGACGCCTTAGAATTCAGGTAAATGTGTACAAGCAGCCTCAACCAGCAAGTCCCCTTGCAGGCTTTGGGTGGTCATTGGATCCTAAAATCTGCCCTTGTCTAAAAGTGCAAGACAAAGATGGAGGAACCTTTCTGAGGGAGGGGCGGTTGCTCGTGGGAGCATGATGGGGGATGGGGTTGGGTGGGTGGGGGGAACCGAGGGAAGAGACTCATGACCAGGGAAGTGTGGTTTGCACGTTCCTTCTCTATTGTAAAGAGCCAAGGTGTGTGTAGGGTGTAATATCTTCTATTGAACCAACTTCTGCGGGTGAGAGAGAGATGCATTTGAGCTACACGCAGCTCTTCTTCCGGTCTCTGCTGGAGTGAATAGGACCAGGCTCTTAAATAAACCTAGGGCGAATTTCTGCCCTGAAGGGACACTGCAGTCAGTGCTAACCACTGCAGGACCGGGTGGCTGCCGGAGGACGGGGAGAATGTGATTGGAGCGTACTTTGCTCTTAGAGGCACAGAGAGCACGAGGGCTTGGCCTGTTGCACCAAACCGAGCGATTCGCCGTGCTGCAGAGGCGTATGATTACTGCCCTCAGCACCTGCCCTGCTGGAATACACTGCTCAGTGTTCAGCGAGGGGGGGGTGTATTGACAGAGACAAGCCAGGGCCCGATCAAAGCCGGCTGAAGTCGATGGGAATGTTGCTGGCGCTTCCAGCGGGCTTTGGAAAAACACGTGACACATACAGCAGGGGGGACCCAGTGCAAAATGGAACCTTCCCCTCTCACGGGTTGCTCCGGTAGCCCACAGCTTCTCAAAGTCTCTTCCCTCCCAACACCATCCCCCATCATAAAATTATGGCGATATCCTATCTCCTAGAACTGGAAGGGACCTTGAAAGGTCATTGAGTCCAGCCCCCTGCCTTAACTAGCAGGACCAAGTACTGATTTTGCCCCAGATCCCTAAGTGGCCCCCTCAAGGATTGAACTCACAACCCTGGGTTTAGCAGGCCAATGCTCAAACCACTGAGCTATCCCGCCCCATCATGCTCCCACCAGCAGCCTGCCCCTCCCTCAGAAAGGTGCCTCCATCTTTGTCTTGCATTTCTAGACAAGGGCAGATTTCAAGATCCAATGACCACCCAAAGCCTGCAAGGGGACTTGCTGGTTGAGGCTGCTTGTACACATTTACCTGAATTCTAAGGTTTCAATTATTCTTGTTTGCATTTGACACCTCCTCTCCCACCTGAGCTCTCAATGTCTTAATACAACTAGCAATGAGATTCAGCGGTTGAGTCTCCTTCCTGTGCAAGCCCCAAGACTGGAAAAATAACAGGGATCGCTCACTGGTTTGAGCATTGGCCTGCTAAACCCAGGGTTGGGAGTTCAATCCTTGAGGGGGCCACTTAGGGATCTGGGGCAAAATTAGTACTTGGTCCTGCTAGAGAAGGTAGGAGACTGAACTCAATGACCTTGCAGGGTCCCTTCCAGCTCTGTGAGATAGGTATATCTCCATTAAAAGAAAAAAAGCATGAATGGATTTGGTCCTTGTGACCCCCTCCGGGAAGAATTCTCCCCATTTTAGCTGGGGAGTTGAGGCCCAATGAGATTAAGGCTCCTCAGAGGCATTTCAGCTCCTGCCTCAGTGTCAATGGGAATTAGGTGCCTGGGTACCTTTGAGGCACAGGGCCCATGTGACGTGCCCAATGTCACAGCGTGGCTGAGGCAGGAATCGAACCCGAGCCCCAGTCTAGTGGCCTACCCACTAGGCCGCCCTTCCTGCCTCCCAGCCCTCTAGGATGCCGAGCCTCCCAGGGGCTCGGTATTCTGGGGATCGAGGGTGCTCGTCATGTTGCAGAATTGAGCTCGCAGCCTCTTACGTGAGGGTTTCACTATAGCCTGAATTGTCTTGAAACAAGGCGGGACGCCTCCCCCCATGCCCGCCCCTATCGGTGGAGTTTGACTGTGTCTCTGCCAACGGGCTGGGCTGTAGGCTGAGCTCCCACTGGGATTTGTGGCAAATGCTCCCAGGGGAAACACGTGACCTGTCCTGTCTGTCAGGTGCCGCTTCAATGGCCCGGTTCTGGAGCTTACACCCAATGTCCCCGTCAGACCAGGCTCCGAAGCAGTAACGAGCCTGCCCCACAGCCAGACCTACTGGGCGAAGCTGATTCCCAGCGGGTGCCGGCTTTGGATCAGACGTGTGCTGAGTCGTGACCAGACATGTGCGTGCCCTTATGTTCTTAACCCTCTGCCTGCCACTGCAGGAGCCAAGGCAGCATAATGCTCCCACTACAACGCCGCCTTTCCTCTGGCAGCGCTTGCTCGGCTCTGCAGCGCTGCTTCCTTTCCCCGGCCTCTCCTCCTTTCCCCCATCGCCTCTTTCACCTCCTCGCCCCCGGCCCCTCCAGATGCTCTGAAAGCTCCTCTGCTGTATAGGGCAGGAACGCTGCCAAGACTCCCCTTGCTGCCCCTCCTCCCGCCAGCCTGTCCAAAACACTCCTGCCCCCCTTCCCAAATTTCCTGCGCCCCCGGTCTGGGCCTCATGGGCCTGGTTCCCAGTAGGCCCCTGCCAGGCACACAAGCAATGAGTGTTTGCTGGGTCTGTGGCAGCACCTCCTTGGTGGGATTTGGGGCAGGGGGTTGTAACTTCCAGCCCAGCAGTTTGCTGATGGCCGCGGTCTCTCTGGCAAGGGGTCTCCGTGTAGCCCCCAGCCTGGGTTCAGTAAGTCGTGTGTGGCACATCTCAGGCTCTGCGTTATTATTTTGTTGCCTTGGTCTGTGGGGAATCTCCCACCCCTCACTGCCCCGTGTCACCGAGTGATAATCCAACAGAATCAACCCATGTTAACCAAAGCTAGCTCTCCGGACCAACTCAGCAGCCATTTCCAAAGCCTCGGCTAATTGGTTCCAGGGCGCCGTCTGTCCTGTGGATTGTCCCCTTGGCTCAAGGAGCTTTTATTTTTCCGGCGCTCACTCTTAACTCAATCCAGCTGGCAAAGCTTTTCTTTCTGAGTGTGTCCTGACATTGGCTGCTTTATCCCTTAAGCCAGTCTTCCAGTGAAAGAAATGTAGATGTACCCTGACTGGGCTGGGTTATACGCCTCATACGAGCTGCTGGGACCTGCTTTATAGCGGTGATGCATGCTCCTGAAATGTCCTGGCTGTTCATAGGTGAGCAATTTGTGCAGTATCCCATCGCACTCTTCCAACTTGTCCAAAGTTTCCCTTCTGTTTGGGGTGCTCATGTACACAGAGTGGCCATTGCGTCTGAATCATGTTGCTACAACTCTGGCACTGTATCCTGTAGGAGAGGAAATCTTTACCTTTGCCACTGGCTTGCTGGGCGAGCTCGGGCTGGTTATGTCACTGCTCCGTCCCTCAGTTTCCCCAGCTGCGAAAGGATGTTATGATGCCTTGTTACTGCAGTGGCACTGACTTTCTTTGTAAAGGGCTTTGAGATCTATGCAGAAAAGCACTGTGTAAGAGCTAGGTATTATGCAAAGTCAAGAAAGCTGGAGAATGGAGACTGATGGTATCTAGCCAACATGAGGGTGAGGCGCCTGGGTGTACCAGGCCTCTCCCTCGGTGGGTTAAAATCAGTAACGCTTCCATGGATGCTTTTAACTGTTTGCGTTTTGCACCTGGTTTGTTTCAATCAAATACACAAAATAAAGAAGAAAAAGGGCCACCTGGACAAACGTTGCTAGCTCCAGGCTGAGCAATCTCCGTTGAAGAAAGCCTTTCAAGTTTTCCAGATATGTATGTAATAAAACATCCTCTGATGTCAGTGCCGAAGAAGAAGGTGTGATGTGTTTTTCAGCAGAAAAGCAAGAACTGAATTCGTGATCTGCACGTTCAGGCGATGCGTGCATGGAGAGACATACGTTAGTCTGGGCAAGCTGCCGGAGGAAAATATATAGCAAAGCTACTCCCAGCTGGCTAGACATGTAGCTTTAGATGTATCTTGCTGTAATAGAGCGGGGTCTAAACTAAACAACTGGACCCAAACACTCCCAAAAACTTTGGGGAAGTTTGGACACAGTTCTCTAGGCTAGGAGCAACCTCTGCTCACAGCGAATAGGGCTTATTACACGTGAGTCCCGTTGAGGTCGATGCCTGAGA